GCGGAGACTCTGCCACGGCTCGTGTGCTGACGTGGGGGTTTCTAAACCTTCCGATGATGTTCGTGTTAGATGATCTAACGGCGATAGGACGCGGTATCAGAAGCGCTCGCATTCTTCTGAGTTTCTTGTTTCGTGAGTTGTAGGATCCACGCGGCGAGATCGGACGGTCAACATTCTTCCACCAACACGGACCCAAGTTCACTGACACCATTTTATATTATTTTTGGGAATTCTGTCATTTAACGAAGGGCAAAAAGGTAAATTTGTTTTCATCTTCCTCATGGATACACACGATTCTCTGCAACCCTAAAAACCAACCACCGCTTGTTTTTATTTTTACTTTTGGCCGACTTTGTAAAATAACGATTTTCCAACTGACTCCAACCGTTTTAACTGAAACAATCGGGTTTGATAACCCGTTCGGGTCGGGTTTACCCGATTCAACCAGGCTATATAACCCGACTTCAATCCCCAAAAACAAATCAGTTTCTTCAATTCCTAAATCAGATACTAAATCAGAGAAAGAAACCCTAGTTTTTCGTTCGTTTCCTCGACGATTCTGCGATGGATGCTGCTTCCAAATCCTCCCCGGATCCCTCCTCCTCCGATCACTCCGCAATTGTCTCCCCCGACTCAGAGAAGCTCCCAACGCTTGAGCAGATGATCGCGGAGGTCTCTGAGCTGGATGACCACGAAGATGACGGCGGCGCTGCCAAAAACTACATCGACGACGGTGAAAAGAAGCAGGAGCCAGCGCTGCAAGATGAGGCTGAAGAGATGATGTATCGCCTCGAGCTCACCATGACGATGACCGAAGATATCAGCGACTACAACGTCAAAGCCCTGTCGAGAGCGATGAAGGCCATTGAGGAAGCCGTGAAGAATTTGAGGAAGCGCTTGGAGTCCGCTGAAATCTTAATCGAGAAGATTGAGAAGTCGGTGTTCCCCTGAGCCGCCGTATTCCCGTGAGTCATCATCTTTCATCTTTCTTAGATACTGATGTGAATGAGTCGTTGTTGTACTTAGGGATGAAATCGAGATGAAATCGAGAGAGAATGTAGAGGTTTGAGTAGTGAATGAGTCGTCGAGAGAGAATGTAGAGGTTTGAGTACTGTTGCATTTGTGTGGTTGAGTCTTTTTGTTGATTTTGTATATAAGTCGATAGTGTGTTCTTTGCTTCTTACTTGTTGAAAGAAAGAAACGTTTTTAGGGATTGTAAAGATTTGATCTGATATGCGAATGAGAAGATTGTAATAAAGATGAGAGCTTTTTGAAAAGTCTCAAGTAAAAGAGGTCTTAAAGCTTTTTCAGTTCAAAAAGTCTTCAACACAAGTAGTGTCGTCTTCCTTCTTGGAATTTTCTTCAGGAACAATCGTGTATACTCCTCTTCGATGGTTTAGCTTCACTAATGTCAGTTTTGCATCAAGCATTATCTTTATCCACTTATGCAGCTCCTTCGGCGTCCTGTGTGTTCGTTCATCAAAAGCTTTGTTAGATTCAGTGGTTGTTGTGGTGGGTAAAAACATGAAACAGAGATTACTCACGTGTATAAAGCTTTAGGGTCCTTAGCTTGGTGGTCATCGCCAGGAGAGAATGCAGTAGCTAGAGCAGAGAATCGTTCTTCAGGGTCTGTAATGTTGAGCAAGTACTTGAGAAGTTTGATTTCTTTGGGAGTGATGCTTCTAAGGCCGCTCTTTGTAGCTTTGATTTGTGAATGAGAAGATTGTGAAGAACAGAGCTTTTTTGTGTTTGGTGATATGTTGTGTACCTCGTTTGTAACGGTTTGAGAGTCTTTAGCAGCAGCATAAGCAGAGTTTATTAGCAAGATCAATGAGGAATCAAGCTTCTTGGTCTTTGCGAGGCTTCTGATCTTGTCACAAGCGACGTCCACGGAAGAAGAGTTTAAGATATCATCAAACTTAGCTTGAGCAGCATCTAGAGTCTCAACAGTCTCCAAGGTATTGTCATAAGCACTCACAGCAGATAAAAATCTAGCTGAAAGCCTTGCAACACCTGCTCAAACAAGAACTGAACAGTCATGAAACTGAGAGGGAATCAAATATAAAGCAAACACAGCAGTGGTATTAGTGTTTTTGAGTACCATCTCTGTCTTCTAAGCCATCAAGAGTCTCTGATAACAACGCGACATATCGGAAAAACTCTCCAGTGAAGTCTCTGCGTCTCTTGTCAGCTATTGCGTTTAAGTCTGTTGGGTTTTCTTGAATCTCCTTCAAAAGGTCGTTGTGCTTCTCCATTTCCTCATCTATCTGCAACAATCTCTCTCTCTCTCTCTCTCTCTCTCTCTCTCTCTCTCTCAAAGTACACAAACCAGTGATCTTATAAAACCCCTAAGATACAAACAACACTATGAAAACAATACCTTCTTTACTTTACTTTGCAGAGAAATCAGTTTCTGTATCAGCAACGCTTGTAGAAGTTAACACTGTACTTGTTCCACTCATCTCTTAAAACCAAGTACTTCTTCCATTGTTTAACTTTAGGCTTCTCATTCAGGAAAATATCAATGATCTTGTCACAGAACTGAGCCATAGTACAGCCTTCAGCAACCTCAACCTCCATAGGATCCTCCACAGATTTTTTCACTTCCGCACCTAAAAACAACATTTTCGTCTTCATCAAAAATCTTCTGTAAGTAGACTACATTCGACTTTGTGATAAAAAAAAACAACAATTTTGTTCCAAAGCTTCAAAATTTAACAATTCAGCAAGTATTTACAGATTTCGTAAATGTTTTTACGTTTTAGCTATCTCTACAAAACCCCTTAACGAAATGGCGACCAATAAATTAAAATTGGATGGTAAAGGAAAGGACTTTCTGGGTAACTAAGCAGAAAGATGAGCTTACTTGTGGTAGTGCCACTGTAAGTAACAGTTTCGGTAGCAAAGATGATGATACTTGAGCTTTTGCGTCTCCTTCTTCCTCCATTAATGGAAGCAGAAAAAGGGAGAAGCAAGGTTTGAGAATTGTTGGGCGGTGATGAAAGAAATAATTTATCAGGAGAAATTCAAGATGTTTAATTCAAGAAGAAAAAGGAAAAATTACCTTCAAAAAGCTGTAAATTGTTTTACAAAGTTACTTATTGGCATTGGTCTTCGTCTTAACGTTCTTGGCTAGAGACTGAATCGAGTAGATTCGTCGGCATTTTTTCGAGGAGTACATAAAAAGATACCGTAAGGAGGACTTGTGACAAGGTGCAGAAATATATCTCATTAGTTGTCCGTGTCAATTATGACAACTTATAATAAACTCATATTTAACAACATCTCTCATTAGCTTTATTTATATTATTAGATAATTAGACCATCTATTAGCATTACATTGAGTCATTGACATACTAGTATATGCATATCGCTCTTCTTTATTTGAATATAGTTAAGCTGCAACGGCATCATTTAGAGCTTCTGCTGCTACCGATGGAGCATTTTCATTGGCATGATTCTTCATCATATTACCACACGCTCCACCGCAGTTACCGCAGCCAGTGGAACCGCCAGTGCAGGACCCGCCACCGCAACCTCCGGTCTTCGTCATCCCACCACATCTTCCACCCCCTCCACCGCACCCTCCGCCATGGCCACCCCCACATCCTCCTCCACATCCACCACAACCGCCACAACCACCACAACGACCACCTTCTTCTTCAACCATGATATCACTTACTCCACCACACACAGTACCGCAGCCCCCGTTTAGCTCCTTCGAAAAGCACCTAGAACCGCCATTGATCTTCTCTGCAGCTACCACAACCGGAGTAGTCGTGTCAACATTCATCATTGTGTCTTCTTCTAACTTCAGTTGACTGAAACCTTCACTCTCCTTGCTTTCCTCTGTTACACCGTTAGCTTTCACTGTCTCTTTCGCTGCTGCACCAAACCCTTCCTTCTTAAGAACATCACCGAGTATGAAAGCAGAAACTACTCCAGGCAAAACCATCCATTTCTCATTTGCCTGCATGCATGCCGTATCAAAATAAACCTCAAGTCAGAAAGTAAACAAAATGGTGAAACTTTGAGTTTTCAAAGTTGCAAACTTTATTACCTCAAAAGATCCAAACTTCAAGTCAAGCAACCCAACAGCTTTGCCATAAGGATGTTCCTTTGAGAATTCAACAGCGGTCATGAAATCTTGCTCGCTTCTCATCTTTCCGCAATGCCTTGGCTCATACTCCAGCTTCCTTCCGGAGTAAACTTTCACCATTCGAGCACCCGAAAGCTCAAACAGAGGATTTTCGTTGCCTGTCTGCTTAAGTGACCACTTCGCATCAAGCAAAGACCAGAAATTTCCATCGTACTCCGCAAGAACAAGACTTTCACCATTCCCTTTCACGCCAATCACTTGTCTTGCATCACCTTTTGGCGCTGCGTCGTTGGAGTTCCTCATCTGGAGACTGATCAACTCTGTTTCGGTTTCATCAACAACGCGTGTGAAACCCTTAGCAAGACGAGACTTTCCGATCATAGGAAAGAAACAAGAGTCTTTCAGCGAAGGTCTTGACTGAACCAAATGTAGAACAGTCGGACTCCGAGTCGGCGTTGTGAAGGAGACAGCGACTCGCAGAGAGATTTGATTCTTGTTTTCACTCTTACCTGGTGGTGTTAACTCAAGCCACTTCTCAACAGAGAGCTTAGTAACAGGAAACAGAAACTCCGAAAGTGACAAAGAAGTGAAACCTAAGCTCTTAGACTTAGAAGAAGAAGAAGACATTAGCTGGAAACTAAGCTCTCCTGTAGGCTCACACTGGAACAAAGCAACTTGCTTTTCTCCATCAGACTCAGACAAAACCGTAAGCTTACGCTCAGCGTTAAACAGAGAATCAGGCTGAGTTTTGCTGAACACAACAAAGACTTTTCCTTTGTGAGCTTCCGGTAAGTTCTTGACCGCAACAATCTCCAAGATAACCTCAATGGCTTTCACCTCTGGAAACTGGATTATATTCTGAGACTCGTCCTCTTTCGCAGCTGATTTCTTGGTTGAAGAGACATAAGGAGAGGTTGTGACTGGCTTTGGGGTATCACCACGATTCATAGCACCAGCTTTCCAGTACCTCCGACCAAATGTTTCTTCCCATTGAGCAGTGGTTCCAGAGAAACCAGTGTCAAGCTTCTTACCTTTGCTTCTGTCAGAGTCTGTGTCGTCATGCTCAAGAACCTTACCAATCATCTTCGTCAAGTCTTTGCAGTAAGAGAGAGCGTGAAGCTGGTGCGTGTGCCAAAGAAGATCAATGTCGTAAGTAGGAACACAGAAAAGCTTGATAGACCTTTCTCTGTTTCTCTTGATCAAGTAGAGAAACGCCTTGTATCTAGCAACAGCTTCTTGCAGAAAGACTTCATTGTGAACATGGTCTCTTGAAACTTGGTAGTAAAACGGTGTTTGTCTCTTGACAGCTGAGACAAGATCATAAGTGGTGCATTTCTCAAGAGCTGACATGTTCTCTGCTTTGGAGATTGGCTTGTCCAAATCAAGATGATAAGGCTCCGTAGGGTACAGTGTCTTCCATAGGTTTTGAGTTTGTTGGTTGGAGTTTCCATTTACGGAAGATGCAACACAAGAGTTGTCCAAGACTCTTCCGTAGAGCTCCTCACAATCAGTCTTGTACCTCACCTGAAATGATTCACAACAACATTTTGAGCCTTGTGTGCCAAACAAAGAATTTAACCGGATTTGAAATGTATCGGTTTAAGATTTTTACCGGGTTAAGCCTGTGGCAGTGCCAAACCCATTCACAGTCAAGAGGAGGGACTAATGGTCCTTCGCAGATGGAAGAAGACTCAGTGTATTTTGCAAGCAAAGGAAGCCAATAAGCATTGTATCTGAAAAAAAAATGAAATCACCAAATTACCTAAATTTTGAGAGTTTTTGATGCAAGAAAGACCAGATTTTTACCTGAAGATGGCTCTTTGGAGAGCAGGGCCGTCGTAGAGGCAACGGTTCTGATCAACAGCTCCGAGGAAGTGAAGATGTTTCTTGGCTGCAGCAATGAGGTCAACGCTTATCTCTGTCTTCTGGGCTTCGAGCCACTCCAGTTTTTGCTCCATCTCTTACAAGTCTTTTGGAAACTTTCACCTGCAAAAATACGGATTATATGAATAAGTCTAACAATATAAACAACTCAAAGTTTTGGTCTTTAGTATTTTCTTATCTTGCAAGAAGAACACGCATTTGAAAAAGTATGAATAAGAGAAGAATCAAAGTATACCGCAGGGAAACTTCTTTGATGATGAAAGCTGACTCGAATTTGAGAAAGACTACTTGAATTACCGCTTTTTATAGTAGTTTTTGGCTTTCTTCGAGACGTCACTACCTTTTTCAATTACTAAGCAAAATGTCAAAGGTGGGAAATTACGTGAGAAGATCAGATAATCGAGCTTTGGAGGAACAGAAAGCATGTCCATAATTTGCTGACATTTTCGCCACTTTTCAAAGTTTAAGCTCCACAAGTAATTGAATCTGAGCCTTAAAAAACGACAACGCCTACAACATGACCAAGTCTTTTACTTTTCTTTGCATTTAAGCTAATATACAATAAATCATTTTTAATTCCATCGCATAACAAAAACAATTCCTAAAATTTGTTAATATCAAAGAGATTTTGTATAAGGTAAAAACAATTAAATTGTGATCCCCTCAGATAAAGTACGAAACGACCTAAACCGGTCAAGATAATAACCGTGAATTTTCATGCAACAAACCAAAAAGAAAAAAGAGAAACCAAGAACTACATCCAATAATGTGAATGGGTATCAATGAGACTCAAGAATTACCTCCCCAAAAGACGGTTTTAAATACACAAAACTAATCAAATTTTATGAGAGGGATTAAGCGTTGTAAAACTTATTTGGAAACAAAACCCGAATTCAATTCATACCGGTTAAGCAACCGACCTCACTTCCTTGAACCGGTGGCCTCTTCGAACTCAGCTTCAGGCGTCTGCTCAGTCCCGCTTGAGCCCTCACCAGTAGGGCCTGAGTCACCACCAGAGGATCCTGATCCCTTAGACATGTGTTCTCCGATCTTTGACACTGCCTTGTTCGCAGCTTCAAGCTTAGCCTTGATGTCCTCGATATCATCACCAGCCATTGCTGTCCTGAGATCAGACACTGCAGTCTCGATCTCAGAGGCAATCTCAGCTGTAATCTTCTCTCTGTACTCGCTCAAGCTCTTCTCAACACTGTAGATTGTGGTATCAGCGCTGTTCCTGATGTCGATAAGCTGCTTCTTCTCTTGATCCTTCTGCGAGTTAAGCTCAGCTTCTTTCACCATTCTGTTGATCTCATCGTCTGAGAGACCACCTGAAGATCTGATTGTGATCTGTTGCTCTTTAGATGTGGCCTTGTCTTTGGCTGAGACGGTCACGATACCATTAGCGTCAATGTCGAATGTAACTTCGATCTGTGGCATTCCTCTCGGCGCTGGTGGGATCCCAACGAGGTCAAACTCTCCGAGCATTTTGTTGTCAGCGGCCATTTCACGCTCTCCCTGAAGAACCTTGATTCCCACTTGCATCTGGTTGTCTGCAGCTGTGGAGAAGACCTAAGAAGCAAATCTTAAATCAGCAACCAATAGATTTAAGATAAAACGAAATGAAAATGTTATCTTTGTCAAGATGCATCATTACCTGAGACTTCTTTGTGGGAATGGTGGTGTTACGGTTGATCAACCTAGTGAAGATACCACCAAGTGTTTCGATACCGAGAGAAAGAGGAGTCACATCCAACAGAAGTAGCTCCTTGACATCACCACGGAGGATACCACCTTGAATAGCAGCTCCCATGGCAACAGCTTCGTCAGGGTTAACACCTTTGCAAGGGCTCTTTCCAAAGATCTCAGAGACGATCTCTTGCACTTTGGGAACACGGGTCATTCCACCGACAAGAAGAACCTCATCGACTTCCTTGATAGTGATTCCGGCATCCTTGAGACAGTTTTGGCACGGGCATCTTGTTCTCTCAATCAGCTTGCCGACCAAAGCTTCGAACTTGGACCTAGTCAAGGTGATGTTCAAGTGCTTCGCTCCGGAGGCATCTGCGGTGATGAAAGGCAGGTTGATTTCCGTCTGAGATGTGGAGGAAAGCTCGATCTTTGCCTTCTCCGCAGCTTCCCTCAGCCTCTGGAGTGCGAGCTTGTCCTTGGTCAGATCAATGTTGTCTGTTCTCTTGAACTCATCAACCAAATACTCCAACAAAGTGTTGTCAAAGTCTTCTCCTCCCAAAAAGGTATCTCCATTTGTTGCTTTAACCTAACAAAGAGAAAACAATCATACAACCACCAATGAAAAGAGCAAATCATGAAGAAGAAGAAAAGACATAAACAAAACAAGCCAATACCTCAAAAACACCACTTGAGATTTCAAGGATAGAAACATCAAAGGTTCCACCTCCAAGATCGAACACTGCAATAACACCTTCCTTGTTGTTCATCCCATATGACAACGCAGCAGCGGTTGGCTCGTTGATGATCCTCTGAACATCAAGACCAGCGATTTTCCCAGCATCCTTTGTGGCTTGCCTCTGAGCATCATTGAAGTAAGCTGGAACAGTAACAACGGCTTTGGTGATGGTTTTCCCGAGGTATGCTTCAGCGGTTTCCTTCATCTTGGTGAGAACATTAGCTCCAATCTGACTGGGAGAAAACTTCTGCCCGTTTGCTTCGACCCAAGCATCACCGTTTGGTGCCTTGACAATCTTGTAAGGAACCATTTTCATCTCCTTCTGCGTCTGGGGATCCTCATAACGTCTCCCAATCAAACGTTTGCTACCGAAGATGGTGTTTGCTGGATTCGTCACCGCCTGACGTTTAGCCGGAGTTCCAACAAGAAGCTCTCCCTTTTGGTTGATAGCAACCACTGATGGTGTTGTTCTAGTTCCTTCAGAATTCTCAATAACTCTAGGGGTCTGCGTAAACGAGATCAAAGTCCACAATTCAGATTTCTCAATAAACTGATATCAGGATTGAACAACAAGGAAAAAAAAAGAATTTTTACCTTTCCTTCCATCACCGAGACACAAGAATTGGTGGTACCCAAATCAATACCGATAACATCATTTCCCACAGGTCTCGAGCTGCGTTTACAGAGCAACACACAATACGAAATGATGAGAAACAGACTCAAAGGGAGATACTTGTTCATGCGAAACCATAAAGTGAGAGGTTTTAGTTACCAGAAAGGCCTCGCCAAGTGACCCAATTTCCCAATCAGAGAAGTCTTTCCATTTGCAGAAATCTGCAAATTCAACGATACCAACAGTGTCAGGAGACTCGATAAAACCTCAGCTGAAGAAATGTAAATCAACAAAGAACAAAGTAGGTCGCTTCACAGAAGAATCAGAATTAACCAAAACTACGCCACGTTTTAAGAAATCCAGATCGGAGACTTTCAAAACTCCATTCTAATACAGCATGGAAAAAACCCAGATTCGATCCATCGGATAATTTAAAACCCTAACTCATTTCGGAATAGTACTATCGATTACAGATCCAGAAAACCCCAAACGTGATTTCTCAAGCAAACACTAAGATCGGGAGAAATTACATACGGATTTAAACGCAGAGACGGAAGCCGTCTGGAGCTCACGGCAGCGAAGAGACCGTCGAAGCACGAAGGAGGCCATTTTGGTTTGGAGAGAGTCGGTGGAGGAAGGGTTTATGCTCCGAGATAGGACAGAAATGAAAGGCTGCGTGTAGGGTTTAAGAGATTTATAGCGACAAAAATTCGTGGGCTACAAGTCAATCTGACATTTCCTTATAACTAATATGGGCCCTACATGGGCTTAGTGACTACGTAGCCCAAACCGAAACCATGAGATCTTTTCCAAAATGTTAAATTTATATAAATAGACCTCATAGTTTGTCGTCGTTGCAGATATAGCTGCGAATTCTACAAAATTACTCTCCCCCCCCCAAAAATAACAGATTTCAGTTTCAGTTCAAAAAATCTTCAACAGAAGTAGTATCGTCTTCTTCCTTCTTCGGATTTTCGTCGGGAACAAGGGCTTTCTTGTCTAGATACTCCTCTTCGATCGTCTCCTTGAGGACGAAAAGCCGCTGGATAACGATTGGTTGGCTCATCTGTTTAGCTTCACTAATGTCAGTTTCTTCTTTGTTGAGATGGTAAGCATCAAGCATTATCTTTATCCACTTGTGCAGCTCCTTCGGCGTCCTGTGTGTTCGTTCATCAAAAGCTTTGTGGTGAAAACATGAAAACAGAGAAAAGTTTGGATATTGTTTCACTCACGTGTATAAAGCTTTAGGGTCCTTGGCTTGGTGGTCATCGCCAGGAGAGAATGCAGTAGCGAGAGCAGAGAAACGTTCTTCAGGGTCTGTTATGTTGAGCAAGTACTTGAGAAGTTTGATTTCTTTGGGAGTGATGCTTCTAAGACTGCTCTTTGTAGCTTTGTATAGCTGATACATAACGTCTTTGGCCTCATTTGTAACGGTTTGAGAGTCTTTAGCAGCAGCATAAGCAGAGTTTATTAGCAAGATCAATGAGGAATCAAGCTCCTTGGCCTTTGCTAGGCTTCTGATCTTGTCACAAGCGACATCCACGGAGGAAGAGTTTAAGATATCATCAAACTTAGCTTGAGCAGCATCTAGAGTCTCAACAGTGTCCAATGTATTGTCATAAGCACTCACAGCTGATAAACATCGAGCTGAGAGCCTTGCAACACCTGCTCAAACAAAACAGAACTAAAAACAGTCATGATCTTGAGAGGGAATCAAATCACAGTAGTATTAGTGGTTTTGAGTACCATCTCTGTCTTCTAAGCCGTCAAGAGTTTCTGATAACAAAGCGACATAACGGAAAAACTCTCCAGTGAAGTCTCTGCGTCTCTTGGCAGCTATTGCGTTTAAGTCCGTTGGGTTTTCTTGAATCTCCTTCAAGAGGTCGTTGTGCTTCTCCATTTCCTCATCTATCTGCAACAATGCTCTCACTCTCTTAAAGTACACAAACAACAACAAAAAAACTACCCCAAGATACAAACAACACTATAAAGACAATACCTTTTTTACTTTACTCTCCAGAGAAATCAGTTTCTGCTTCAACATTGGATCGGTTTCTAAATCAGCTCGGACTCTGCAGCGCTTGTAGAAGTTAACGCTGTACTTGTTCCACTCATCTCTTAAAACCAAGTACTTCTTCCATTGTTTAACTTTAGGTTTCTCATTCAAGAAAATATCAATGATCTTGTCACAGAACTGTGCCATAGTATAGCCTTCAGCAACCTCAACCTCCATAGGATCCTCAACAGATTCTTTCACTTCAGCACCTATAAGAACATTTTTATCTTCATTAGACTAAAATTTTGACTCTTTTAAAAATTCCAATTTGTTCCAAAGCTTAAGAATCAAACAATTCAGCAAGTGATACAGATTTCATAGAAGTTTTTAAGCTTTTTCTACAGAACCCTTTAACGAAATGGCGACCAGTAATTCGAATTGGAACCTAAAGGAAAGGACTTTCTTGGTAATTGAACAGAAAGATGAGCTTACTTGTGGTAGAGCTACTGTAAGTACAAGTTTCGGAAGCAAAGATGATACTTGAGCTTTTGCGTCTTCTTCTTCCTCCATTGATGGAAGCAGAGAAAGGTAGAAGAAAGGTTTGAGAATTATTGGGCGGTAATGACAGAAATAATTTATCAGGCGAAGAGAAGAAGATTGATGTTTCCAGTATATTCGCCATTTTCTCCCTCGCTTGGAAGGAATTTTGTTCGTCTTTGTGGACTGGACGACGAGAAACACTCTACAGTCTAGCCGATAAGAAGAACAGGGTTATCTTTGTAAATAATTAGGAAATTTAGGCAAATCCGAGAAATAAGTAAGATTTCATAAGTAACATTCAACAAGTGTCAATATGTGTGAACGTGAGGGGCGTAAATGTAAAAACTAACAATATTTGTATCATTTTGAAAATTAAGAAAGAAAGGGTAACATATGAACATAACATGGATGAACAAGCCCAAAAAGGACACAAAGTCTAATGTATTGACATCACATATTAGACCTTTGGACCTTACATCAACATGTTGAGACAAAGATACTTAGATTGGTTACTAGTTACCACTTACTACAGCTATGTGAAGAAAGATTTGAATTTTTAGATATTCCATAAACCCATATACAAAGTATCATCTAATATTTAGATCATTCTTGTTGTACATAAATTATTTTGATATAAAGATTTGTTTCACTCTGCCTGCTCTTGAGGCTGGCCATCTCCACCACCACCACCACCAATGTTACTGGTATTGAACTGAACACGAGGCTTTCCCATACTGAAATTAAGAACTCTTGCATCCATATTGTATTGAATCTCTCCATCAAACAACATCTTCCTTATGTAATGTTCTACGTCCGATCCTATCAATCTTAATGTATACTCCGTTAATGGTGCTCCCTGTCCAATACATGAACAAACAAATAGTATCTCTTTCCAGTCCAAAGATCTAAAACCATGTTCTTGGATAAGAGAAACAGAAGTTATTACCTCGTAGTGATCAACAAGTTCTTGAAAATAAGAATAAACCTTGTTACAGCTTTCATCATCCCACACAAACTCTTCCGTAGGATCAAGAATCAAAGTGAGTTTATCCATCTGCGTCTGGTCAAACTCACAAGTCTCTGGATCGATATAAGCTGCGTAAATCCTCACGTGACGTGTCACACTGCTTAGCCACTCACCACCAAACTCTCTAGGCATGCCTGTGCTCTTCACGTTCGACTGTTTCTCCACCGGTCTCAATGGCGTTGGCTGCTTCTTCATCTGCTTCTCTGGTGACTGCTCTTCTTTGATTGTCTCTGTTTCTTGTTCCTCTAGTGTACTGCCTTGTTCAGGATTTGTCACCACGAACGCCTTCTGTGTTGTTCTAATTGGTCGGATTTGAGCTGCCATGGGAGGATGTAACAGAGAAAGCTTAGTGCAAGCAGTGTAAGAGAATGATGCAACCATTTTTTGAGTTTGTCTGAAAAATGAGAAGAGATCAAGTTGTTACAGAACCATACTCTGTAAAGAGATTTGATGAGGTTGAGAAATGACCACAGCTTATGGATGAGATTCTCCCAAAGTTCAGTCTTTTTGTTTTCTTGGTGTTTTGTGGTTAATCTTGAGAGCCAACACAATCTTCTTTTAGGAGTTTACTGCTTTACTGTTGTTTTGTTAAACTTGTCTTTAGCTTTCATATGATAAAACAGAGAAAGATTCTGAGGAGAGATTTGAATAGAAGAAAGCTCATTATTTTCCACCATAGCGTAAAATAGAGTTTTACAAGTATCATCTATACAATCCATGGAACTTGAAAGCATAAACAGAGTGAAAACATTTTAGTTCTTGTACTTCATGGTTTCTTTCTCAAACCCAATTGTTGGGAACTGCTTAGCGAATTCCTCGACTTCATGGCGCAGCTTCCCAATCTCAGATTGAATGGCTGAAGAAGATTCCATTGCTGTCACAAAATCCTTCAGCTTGGTTCCTGGTTTTGTAGAACATTCACAAATGAGTTATATAATCAATCATTGTTTGTAAGAACACATAGAATCGACGATCAGAGAAATGAAGAACAACCTTGAGCTTCAGATTTGACTTGGAGAGCCAACTTCACAGCTTTGTCAAAGTATTCAGCTACTTTGGCAAAGTCTTCCTCAACAAAGCCTCTGGAAGTGAGAGCAGGTGTGCCCATTCTGATTCCACCAGGAACCATTGCAGAAACATCACCAGGGACAGTGTTTTTGTTTGATGCAATGTGGACAGCTTCCAACACTTTCTCAACTCTAGATCCATCAATTCCCTGCAATCAAAAAATGGGATTAGAAGTGTGGATAGTTTTAACTAAAGAAATAAGTATACAGAAAAGGATAGATCAAGTGACCTTGCTCTTCAGATTCACTAGAACCAGATGGTTGTCAGTTCCACCAGAAACAAGTTCATACCCTAACTCCATCAGAGTCTGCACCAAACAACAAATGATACTCTTTAGAGATATAATCAAAAAGTGAAAAATAAAAATGAAAATTTGATATTCAAGCGAATAGCACCTGAGCAAACTTTGCAGAGTTACTCAGGACTTGCTCTTGGTATGCTTTGTACTCTGAAGTAGTTGCCTGCATTTAACACAAAATTGTATTAAAGAAACCACAAAACCAATGACCAAAGTTAGTTACTTCCATTCAGTGCCTTCACTTTACCTGTTTCAAAGCAACAGCTAGTCCTGTGATAGTGTGGTTGTGAGGACCACCTTGAAGACCAGGGAAGACAGCTTGATTGATCTTGTCTTCAAAATCATACAACACCTTTCAAGACAACAAATGGATGATATCAAAAGACTGTACATAAATCTTAAAAAACATTTGTCCAGATTTTGTGTTCTTCTTTTACCTCTTTCCCTTGTTTGTTAACTTCCTTAACACCCTTTCTGAAAAAAATCATGGCTCCACGAGGTCCACGAAGCGACTTGTGAGTTGTGGTGGTTACAACATCTGCATATTCGAACGGTGAAGGGATAACACCAGCAGCAACCAAACCACTTATGTGTGCCATATCTGCTAGCATTACAGCTTTTTGCTTGTTACACACCTGCCACAAAGAGTTTGAATCAAAACTCTTGATTTACAATAATCTCTTTGTGTGTGTGTTTAGATTTGGATATAAGATTGGAAATTACCTTCCGGATGCGGGCATAGTCATACAAACGAGCATACGCACTTGCACCAGCAACAATCAATTTTGGCCTGAAAAGAGTAGCACTTTTCTCCATCTGCAGAGATCAAGATAAACAAGTTAGGTAATGTAAACAAGAACAAACTATAGGATGCTTAGTCGAAGAATCAAGAACCTGATCATAGTCGATGTAGCCAGTGCTCTCGTCCAAACGATAAGGCATTGTTTCAAAGAAAATAGACACAGCAGATATCTTCTTGGTATCAGTCTGATAACCATGAGAAAGATGACCACCGTGAGGCAGATCAAGCGCCATGATTCTCTCATGAGGCTTTAACAGTGCAGTGTAGACATGGAAGTTGGCTGGAGATCCAGACAAAGGCTGCACATTCACTGTAACCACAGGACAAGACTCAGAATAAGACATCAAAACAGAGGAACTAGATAAGTCAGATTTCTTGCTTCCTAATTACCTCCCCACTTCTCAGGGTCTAACCGGAAAGCTTCAAGAGCTCGCTTCTGGCATAAGGTTTCGGCCATGTCTATGTACCTTCAAAGCAAAAAGGCTCTTCAAGTTAGCATCTTTTTACAGAGATTTGGTCAAGCAATCATGTCTATGACTGGAAATGAAAGACTGAAAATTTCTTGAACATACTCATTTCCTCCGTAGTATCTGGCACCAGGATAACCTTCACTGTATTTGTTAGTCATCACAGAGCCAACAGCTTGCATCACCGAGACAGATGTGAAATTCTCAGATGGAATGAGCTCAAGTCCCTTGATAAACATAAGTATTAACAATTATCACTCAAAAAGGTACAAGCTTTAACAGAGAATAATCCAAAATCTGAGATTTTTCGTAGTAAAGAGAGAGAGAGACTAACCTTCCATTGTCTAGCTTTCTCATGTTCAATGATGTCAGCAATCTCAGGGTCGACCTCCTCTAAAGGTGCGTTAAGCTGTTTTGGCCACTGTGTCGAGAGATTACACACACACACATGGGTTTCATAAGATTTCAGACCCAAAAATGGAAACTTGTACATCAATTTGAAACAGACGCATAACTTGAGTAACCAAAATCCTTGCTTTAACCGCAAGCAATCTAGACAAAAGCGACAAGAGACATGAAAAGAGTGGGATTTTATAAGGAGAATAAAAGAGAAATGAATCTCACAGTGACACGATTGTCATCGACAGCTTCACTGGGCAAAGACGACTGTAGGAAACAACATCAGAAATTAGAAACCCAAAATGATTGAAATTCGATCCGATGAGAAAATTTAGAAGGAGGGAACATGGGCGTTACCATGTAGCATGAAGTGGATCTGATAAGAGGACGAATGGGTTTGTCAATTGAAGAAGAAAGTCTCCGAAGAGCCATCGCCATTGCCATTTTCGCTAAACCTCTCTCTCTCTTTCTCTCTCTCTCTCTGGGAACCCTAGAAACAGATTTGAAACATGGAAGAGAGACGGAAAGAAGAACAAAAAAAATCCAATTGGGTTTATCCGCAGAAGAGATGAAGAGAGAATTGTGGCCTCTGCTTTTGGCTGAGCTTTTGGTGGTTGCAGAAAATTTTCGAAATTTTTTTTACCTCTTTCTTTTATATTTTTCTTATCGGAAAAAAGAACGAATTTTTATTTTTGGGTTTCTTGTCGTTATCTCAGGTCACACTCACACTCTCTCCCACCAAACGTTTGTGAACTGAATTCTAAATTGTGATAATTCATGACGACGACGATTTTTTTTCGTTAAAAGGCTGTTGTCAGTTTTTTTTCTTTTCTTGTGAATGGTTTCTGGTCAATAAAGTCAACGATAACCGATTTAGGTTTTTTTTTTGTTCGTCTGACATCGATTTTTGTCACCAATAACCTTTTTTCTCTCGGTTAATTAGCGAAAATCGGTGATTCAGTACTATATATGCTTGTACTACAAAAGTATAATAAACAACACCCGATTATGCTTGTATTTCAGTACTATATATGCTTTAATTATATATATATATATATATTTCAATTGACATGCACAAGAGAAAAAATATGATTGATGTTAGAAGAACCATGCTGCTGCTTTCATGGCTTGGTTTCTTCTTTTGTTTCCTAGCATTTGGTTTGTTCTTCAATATTATGGTATCCTCGAACTTCAATCTGTAAAAATTAGAACTAAAATGTGTTTACTTGAGGGTTTTTGTGATTCATCAAAATCAAACTATAAGACTCCACCTTGCTATTATTCGTCTGCTCTTGGTGGGGTCTCATAATCCGAATGATCGGGTTGGCTTAGTTGCAGCCGAATCTGAGTGTGTGATTCATCATCTGCGGCAGCTAGTTGATCACGGTGTATAAACTGGTTTGTGCTCGCCGTATATGCCTGCAAGATCAAAGTCGAAGCCATCACTTCAAAGCTCTTATTTCTGCCAAATGGAGTTTGTGTA